CCCTCCCCCGTCCGCTGTCCCTAGGCTTGCTGTCCAGCGCCGCCTGGGCTCCGGAGCGCTGGCTCCGCTAGGCGCCGGGGTGAGTGTTGACATCCGCCACATCGGGTGGCTCACGTGGTAAGATTCCCCTTGCCCGGCCCCGGGCGGGGACGCCCCTGACTCGGGTCCCGCAAAAGCGTCTGGGTCGCGGCTAGTGTGACCGAGGGGCCGTCCAGGCCTTGGGTCGCCACAGCTGCTGTGTTCTTGTCGCCCTTCGCGGCCCGCGGCCGTTCGAACCGGAGAATCCCCATACTGGGTCTGTGAAATCCTTGCCACTGGGCTCGCTGCTTCCAAACTGTAACGACCTCAGCGTTTGGCTAACTCGGGCAAAAGGGCGTGTTTTGCCTGACTTCTGCCAGCGGAAAACAACCTTTAACAAATGCTTTTAATATGTAGTTTATAATCCTCTAATCTCCAATGTTAAGAAATTGGAATGTCTGTTCTACTAAATTAAGTTTGGGAAGCCAGTCTAAGGGATTCCTTTCCTATAAAATACTGCTTAAGATGTGTGGAATTTTCTTAAATTGGGATTTTTTTTTTAGTTTTTTTCTTTTTCTACTAAAATAAACAATATAGATTGGTGTTCACCTGTCAGAAAACTCGGGTGGAGGTGCAGCTACGAACAGTTAATATTAAACATACCATTTATTTTAACCGTGGATAAGAGGTAGTGAAGTGAAATGGGTAAGAAAGTTATCCTGTTAAAGGCTGTATATTGCCAATGAATGCGTATTGGAAAACCATGAGCATTGTTGATTATTAGCAGCTTTCGGGTTTCATTTGTATCGATTTTATCTCCCAAACTGCCTTTGTATCAAGATGCATTTTAACAGGGTGTAATGATAGAGGCAGCCAGTCCCAGCCAGAGCATTCCATCAGTGAGTATGGATTTTGGATACAGTTTCACTTTACAAAGCAAGTCATCTACTTGTGTAAGCTTTGCCTACCACATGAATGATGATACAAAGAAACGCTGGCCACACTGATGTGCATGAAAGGCTGCATTGTAGTGTGGTGCACAGGCTTTGCAGTCAGACCACCTGTATGGGAATTCTGGCAGGTCACCCTCGAGAAACTCAGTTTCCTCTATAAAATGGGCTAAATAATATCTATTGCAATGTGGGATTGTAAGGATTGGAGATCATTAGAATCTCTAAGTGGTCTTGAGATGGGTAGATGACAAATCAACCTTGCAATGTTATTACACATGTCTTGATTTCATCCATTCACAAGCTGTTTGAAGGCTTACTTTTAGTTATTGTGCTAGATGCAGGTGTGTAAGTGTGAAGAAAGCAGCAAAATCTCTGCGCTCAGGAATTTACAGGCTTTTGGCTAGATTGACAGTAAACAGGGGCACCAATAAACACATAGATTACAAATTGTGAGAAGTCCTACAAAGAAAAAACAAACAGCAGGGTTGCTCTGAAGTACTTTAGTTTGGGTTAGGGAAGTGATTTTTAAGTTGAAATCTGAAGGATGATGGTACAGTGCTTCAGGATAAGGGGAGAGCAGCAAGTGCTGTGAGGAGTTTGGTAGTTTCAAGGACTAGAAGAGCCCAGGAGCTTGGTGAGAAGCCAGCAGGGTGCTGCAGATAAGGATGGAGATGTGGGTGCGGCCAGATGGTGAAGGGCCCTGAAGCCCTGATAAGAGTTTGATATTCTAAATAAGAAGCTTCTGAAGGCTTAGTAAGACGTGTACCTGAGAGAGAGAGAGAGTGAGATATAATTGGATTTACATTTTTAAAGGCTCACTGCTGTGAGTAATGTGTCGGAAGTGACTGGAGTGGACACAGGGAGACCAGTGCCCAGGCAGAAGATGACAATGGCTTGTGGTTTTGGCAGATGAAAAGATGTGGATGAATTTGAGATATATTTTGGTAATGGAAGCCTCTAGGCTTGTGATAGATTGGAGATGGCTGGTGAATGAGAGGATGGAATCATTCATGAGTTCCAGCTTTCCGGCTTGCACCATTTATTGAGATGTGAAGGACTGGGGAGATTTGGAAGACTGGGGAGATTCGGATTGGTGCTGAAAATCAAAAGCTCTCTTTGGGTGTGTTAAGTTTGAGATGCTTGTGAGACATCTAAACTGCTTCCAGTTTACTACTTCAGTGAGTAATTATCTAGAAAGCTTCATTCTCCACACATAATCACCAATGTTATTTGTAGTTTTGTTCCCCTTCTTTACAGGTGAGAGAATTATGATGTTGAAAAATTGAGTATCTTGCACAAAGTCACATAATATGCCTCATAAAATAGGTCAGTGAGTAGGTGGAATAAATATGGGAAAGTATTGGATTCTTATGTTACATTGGGTATATTATTGAGTATTTCATATTCTTTGCCCTTTTATATAAAAGTAGCTAGGAATTAGAGTTTGGAAATAATAGAAAATAACCAAAAGTTAGCAAAACACTGCTTATTGAAAGCTTACCTTGCTACATTTGGTACTAGTTTGATATAAATTCCCAGTGAAGGTCATTTTTTTTTTTAAGAAAAACTTTTTTCTTTAAAAGGCACTTTCCGGTAGTTTGGAAAAGGTGCTCAGGAAAACAAAAAATGGAATCTTTGAGTTGTTTTTTCCTTTTTTTTTTTTTTTTTCCTTTGTAGTTTTAGCATTTGCTTAGTATCCTGTGGAATCCTATGAGTAATTGTCTGTAAAGAACCCAGGCTTTGAAATCCTCTAGACCTGGCAGCAAACTCTTGCTTTTCTCCTGTATGAGCTGGTTGACCATGGACAAATTATTGAAGCCCTGAGTTTGTTTCTTCTTGTGTAAAGTGATGGTGAAGTTTGTTTCATCTTTGTGTCTAGTGGATAAGATGGCAGATGTTACTTCTCTTCCTGCTTTTGTCAGTTTTGGAACTAGAAGAGAATTTAAAGTCTGTCTTGGATTCAGGCCTTTAAACCAATACTTTAATTGTTATCTCCATTTGGTATATTACGTAACCGAGGCCCAGAGAGATTGTAATAGATAATACAGGGTGATTGTTTCCAAATACAGTGTTTCTTCTTTCATTGAGATAATTAAAAATAATAAAGCAGCGTGACACTGGACCTATTTCTTTGTTACTTACAGTAATCTTCAAAACTAAAAAGAAAGAAAAGAATGAAGAGATAAAAGAAAAAAATTATAACATAGGACAGTTTTTTGATACTAGAAAGTGAAGAAAATGAACCTGTTAGTGATGTACATATAAAAATACGTGTATTTAATATATATCAATATTTTTGAAACACTTTAAGCTAAATACAGAATGAGGTAGTTCAAGAAGGAAATGGGTTTGCTGTATTTAATTTTTCCTTTGTTTGCATTTTATGAAAGTGATCTCTGTTGTCTTAGACAAAGATTCCTAATGTTGAGTCCAAAAACTATTTTTTCCATTAGAACTATTTCTAATAAGTAGTAAATATTGCTTAGAGTATTTTTACTAAATTGTTAATAATTTTAATCTCTTAAATATGTGTGACAATTTTAGTTGTTTGAAAAAAAATAGGATTGAATGTATAATTATCTTTTTCGTGTCTATAAGTAGCTCTATGTGCTAACTGGCTTATATGGCAGTGCTTGTGAGAAGTCTTATGTTTATTCAGTTTTCTTGTTTTCTCTGTAGAAATGGACCAATTTTGACAAAATGTAGTGCTGCAGTGTGCCTCATGGGATATGTTCAGTCATGGCATCCGAACTTTGTAAGACGATCTCTGTGGCAAGGCTGGAAAAGCACAAGAATTTGTTTTTAAATTATAGGAATCTGCATCATTTCCCACTGGAGTTACTAAAAGACGAGGGACTGCAGTACTTGGAAAGACTCTATATGAAAAGGAACTCGCTTACAACCTTGGTACAGTATTACATTGCATTAAAAACATCATTTATAAATGTGGTCCTAAGCAAGACATATTTTACATATCCTACAATATTCAGATAAAGATGTATATCCCTTAATGTTGTATATACAGGAATAAAAATTCATATACAGGGAGTTCTCATTAGCTGTGAATTCATTATCCAACTCTCTGCAGTTATGAGGTTACTGGAGGAGTTGTGTAGGAAAGCAAAATATTCACTAATGTACCACTTATAAAATTAGTCGCCATTCAAAAACCCCTCTTCATTTAGCATGTGCATCTATCCAGGCTTGTGCTTTCTTTGTGTGTTAAGCTGCTGTTATGGGTTGAATGTTTGTCTCCTCCAAAGCACATGTTGGAACTTAATCCCCAATATGATATTTGAAAGGTGGGGCCTTTAAGAGGTGATTGGATCTCATGAACAGATTAATCTGTTGATGGATTAAGGGTTTATCATGGGCATAGACTGGTAGCTTTATAAGTAGAGCACACAAATACAGTTGGGACACATGTTCTTGCTCAGCCCTTGCCATGTGATTCCCTGCACCATCTCTGGACTCTTCAGATAGTTCTCATCAAGAAGAAAGCCCTCACCTTCTCATCAAGAAGATGTGCCCCCTGGACCTTGGACTTCCCTTCCTCCAAAACTTTGGCAGTTTCTCAGCTGCACTTTTCTATTTATGAAATATCTAAGTATCTATAATACAGTTTAAATTGGTGTTCATAATGGTTCATCACATACATTTCAAATTCATGCTTTGCCACCTTTTTAATCATCAAAGATTAAATTGTTACATATGTTTATAATGATAGGTGTATGTATTTTATTTTAATTGCTTTCTCTTAGCTGGAACATTTGATTCATGTGTGTCAAAGAACTATAAAGTGCTGTACAGATATAGAGATGGTGGGAATAGTAGCAGTCATCCCAAAGCCATTTCGTTCCCTGATTATATTGGATGTAAGACAGCTTACTGCACAGTTTTTGAAAGCAGACAAAACAGTACTTTTCCTAGAGTGCTTTAAAGCAACTCCTAGGGCTTTTAGAATATTTGCTGTTGTTAAAGATAAAATACAAGGGTACTTCACAATGTTTGAGGAAAATAATTAAAAGACAAAATGAATTAAAAGATAATATCTATCTTTCCATGAACTTTTTGAAGATCCCTCATATAAAAGGAAACCTAGTATGTAGAATTTGACTTACAACTGCAATACTGTCCAAAGGAGGGGAAAACATTATTGGAAATTTGTAGTATCTCAAAAACGTTATGAGTTAATTGGCCTTTTATTTATTTTTAACAAGCTTGGGAACCTGCCAATTATTTCCATTTTCATATTGTTTTATTGTTTCATGTTAACATTGTTTTACTGTTTTAAATGACTTCTCCTCAACATTCTTCTTTCCTTCCTTACCCCTCTGCATATGAAGCCTCTTGGTGAGAAAACTCTGCCCTTCCTCATTTTGCCTTTCAGATTGCTTGGTATAACACAGTGGCTTATATTTTTAGGATGATTATATGTCACATGTATAGAACTTGGGCAATGCTCATATTTAGAACTAAAGCAAAGGGCGGGGGAAGCCTTACACTTAAAACAAATAAACTTTTTCATTGTTTAATTACAAAAATGATATATGGGGTCGACCCTGTGGCTCACTCGGGAGAGTGCGGTGCTGGGAGCACAGCGGCGCTGGGAGCGCAGCGGCGCTGGGAGCGCCGAGGCCGCGGGTTCGGATCCTATATAGGGATGGCCGGTGCGCTCACTGGCTGAGTGTGGTGCGGGCGACACCACGCCAAGGGTTGCAATCCCCTTACTGGTCACAAAAAACTGAAACAAACAAACAAAAAAAAATGATATATGCCCTTATGTCAAATATTATAGGGGAATATTTGGAAAGCAATCATCTCTTTCTTTTTGTCCAATTTGTGGAGTAAACAACGTTAATAATTTGGTTGTATCCTTCTGTTGTAGTCCATTCTGGATACTGTAACAAAATACCATAAACTGGATGGCTTATAAACAACAGAAATTATTTCTCACAGTTCTGGAGGCTGGGAAATTCAGGATCAAGGTGCTGGTAGATTTGGTGTCTGGTGAGGGCCTACTTCCTGGTTCATAGATGGCACCTTCTCTCTGTGTCCTCACATGTTGTAAGGGTCAAGGGGTCTATCTGGGGCCTCTTTTATAAGGGCACTAATCCCATTCATGGGGGCTCCGCTGTAATGACCTAATCACCTCCCAAAGGCCCCACCTCCTGACACCACTGTGTCAATGAATGAATTTTGGGGGGACACAAACACTCAGACATATAGTATCTTTCACTCCCTTGCTTGTGTTTTTGTAATTATATACTCTATATATTTTTTGCTTTTTTAATAACAAAAATAGAATCATACTATTCATATTTCTCTGCAAATTTCTTTTTTTATTTCATGATATTCTCATTCCATTAACCTGTAGGCCGGTAGATATACATGCATATTTATATATGCCTGTATGTTTATATTTAGGTTAGTCTCTAAAACAGGATTGCTTGGTTAAAGGGTAGACACATTTTACATTTTAAAGTACTTCTAAGCAATATTTCATTATGCAATATTTATTTGTGTAGCTGAGAAACCTTAAGACTTTTTAAAACATAGTTGGTTTATGTAGAAATCCAGTCGTGTAATTAATAGGTGAATTAAGTAGTAGTTAGGAAGCATTATGATTTCGGTTCCTAACATTTATCTTAGAAAATGTTTTAAAGAATTTTTCTGTAATTATTTTAAATGCAATTCGAGAATTATTAAGTCTCTGATCTTTGCGATTTTTATAAGATAAATAAGATAATAGGAGTAATATACGGTCTGTGTTTGTCATCTGATAGGTATTTACATAGTTGTAGATGACTAAATAAATGAATAAATAAGTGAAGATAAAATATATAAATGAAGATAAAGTAGAACTGCATAAGGACTATGTTGTAAGTACAAGTTCCAGACTGAGAGCCTTTGAGGGCAGGAGCTGTGTCTTGAGTTCTGTATCCCCAGCCTGGCCTACTGTCCAACGTTTGTAGGACATAATTTAATTCTATATAGCAGGATTGCAGAAGATTTTAAAAATAATATCCTATTTGAATGACACTGAAGAGTGACTTTTACAGGAGTTTAGGAGGAAGAGCATCATTCATTCATTAAACATGTATTTACTGAGTACTTTCTATGTACCTGGCACTCTTTACAGTACTGACAGATTCTTACTCATGGGATTTTTATTTGTTGGCATCCCAAGTTGAAGAAAAAAATATGAACTAAGACTCAATGGAAAAAAATTTGGGGATAAGTCTAGGTGCCTGTTTTGTCTAGATCAGTGGTTTTATGGGTTCCTCAGAGCCTCCAGATTCCTGAGCAGCAGCACCGAAGTAAGGAGTTACGGGAAGGCATGAGTTGGAGACCAGGCAATAGTGTGTCTCCACTTCAGCCAGAGCAGTTCTCCTTTGGTTTGCTTTATGTGTTGGTGTTTACACAAAATCCTCACATGGATGGGATGTACAGAGAGGTCCCCTAGGAAACTTTTTCATACCCAACTTAATGGAACCATTTATTCAAAAATTTCGATAAGTAAAATAGATGCTCTGAAGCTATTCTTTCTTAGGAAAGGGGATAGGCAGGAGTCTCATTCAGTGTACAGATCCTCTCCTTCCAAGGAATTGAATAGAATCTCCAAAAATCCACAGAGTGGAGTAGAAAATCACTGACTTAGCACAGAGTTTGTGAGGGGGGAAGAGCAGGAGATAATGCTGAGACAGGAACTCTACATAATGGCTAGGTCGTGTTGAATCTTAAATACCTTAAATAGTTCCTAAGCACTTAGAACTATGGTTGTATGGGCAGTGGAGAGCCACTGAATGTTTTTTTGTTTTGTTTTTGTTTTGAACGTTTTTTGACCATGAGTGTAACAAGCCTGCAACTTTAGATTTTATTCTTTGGGATCTTTTCTGGAGGAGAGTTTTGTAAATTCAGTAAGTTTATTTCATTGGCTAACTCACTTTTTCTTGACTGATTGTTTGAAACAAAATCAAGTAGATGAATTTTAAACTGACTGCCAAAGCATGGTGTTCATTCATTTATTTCACACATATTTAAGGAATACCTCAATGTACCAGGTTTTATGCCAGGATCCAAGCTGGTGAACAAGACAAACATAGGCCCTGTCCTCATGGAGACTCTAATCTGCAGGGAAGATAGATATTAAACAGTAATTACTAGACTCCTGATAAATACAGACTGCTGGTTTGGTCTATGATGAGGATTATTTAACCTGCTTTAGGAATCAGGGAGAATGTCCCAGAGGAGGTGATGTTAAGCTGAGACAGAAAGGATGAATAAACATTAACTCGGCGAGGAGGAATGAGGAACTTTAGTGACAGAGCGAAGAGCATGGGCAAAGGCCCTGCTATTGGAGGGAGCCAGCATGAGCACGGAGAGTGAATTGGGCAGCTGAAGAGGCTGATAGGGGCCAGGCCACACAAAATCTTGAACATGTTAAGGTTTGGGCACTTCATCTTAGCTAGCGAAGGGACCCAAGTGGAGGTACTACACAGGCAAGTTGACAAGGGTGGTGGTGATAGCAGTGAAGAGATTTCAGGTGGCAAAAAATAAGAAGCCAGTGTTGGCCAATTTGAGTAGTCCATTCCCCTGGCCACAGTGGTTGGCTCAGCCTGGAGATTTTAACGGGGACTTTTGGGGAAAAGGCACATTCCATGGAGCTTGCTAAATTGATAGAATGTGAATCTAAAGCTGCCAGAGGCTGTCTTGGCTACTGCCTGAGAAGGCAGCAAGCAGAGAGGAATCTTTGAGTGCAGATCCAGCATCCCTGGAATTAGATTTCCCCTGCACTGTCTCCCTTTCATTCATTCACTTATTCATCATTCATTCATTTAACACATATATGGAGTGCCTGTTAATATTGTAGTTACCTGATTTGGTATATTTTCTTTCTCTTTCTC